AATGGGAACTTTTTATTTAAAAGTCCTCAGATTGTCCTGATATTTTGGTTAAAATAACTGCATGACATCAAATAATTTGTTCATACAAAGAAATAAAATTTTTTCCAGGTTTCTTCTTTTTTGGGTCAAATTAAAAATAGTGTCCAACTAATATATCCAACATATAATACAAGATAATCATCCAAGTTACACAAAGGTAAATAAATGACCTTTTTAAGGTTTTAGTCAAAAGATCAAAGTGAGAAGGATATTTAATAGTTTGGTTAATATTCATCAAACTCCATGGATGGATTAATTAAACAAGCTTCATAAATTTTGATTTTCAGGTAAAAGATTAGCACAATTTTTGCTATACCATTGTTGTCCATGAATATCTAAACAACTCTATTGATTTTTCAGGTTAAGGGTCAATGTGTTCCTACTACAGTAAAACTTCATTAATATAAGGATATCAGGGTGATTCGTTTATTTGTTAGAAATTAGTTATAAAATCTCCCACTCTTTTCTATAATATATCAGTGAATGTGCTCCTTAATTTTAAAGAATTTTACAAGCAAATCATATACTGACTTTCAATCCTTCAAAACACAATATAAATTGAATCTTGATATTAATACTTTTAGGCTTTCAGACTTATAGGATTTCAATCTTAAAAACTTTCAGACTTTTAATCTTTAAAAACATTTAATCATGAGGACTGATTATTTATCTAGTAAGTCTTGTCTATATGTAATTAAGATCAGTCTTTAGTTATTCAAAATTTTCATATTTGTAAAACCAAATTGTGAAAGTACGGTGTTTGTGTAATCTTCTTAATGTTTGTTTAAAATTATTGGATTTTAATACTGTCAAATATAATTTGTGATGATCAAAATTTCCAACTGAATTCAAAGACAAACTGCCTGACCAATATATATTTAAAGTTTCAACACCATACACTCTTGAATATCCCTAGATATCAATACATTTATTCAGCATTAGCTATCATCCGTAAAAATAACCTAAGGAACACTTTTATCGTAACTTTAAAAAACATGAAATTCCTCACGCAATTTTAAAGAATCTTTGTTATAAGGGATATTAAAGGCAAAGGATCCATAAATTTCCAAGTAGCAATATTTTAAAACTACATATCCACATTGAATTGAGGATCATTTGAAGATCCCTTTTCTTGATAACTCATGAAATTTCATGTAGATAGTGACTATAATGTGTAATTAATCTTCATGAAAAATGGTGTTAAGTTAGCCACACCCAACATCCAAGGGAGAGGGAAGGGGGTTGAACCCTTTTGTCCAGGATACATGAATTTTAAAGGTTTAAAAAAAAAATTATAAAATTATATCAAATTTATAAGGTTAATATTTTTTAAGTTTTGTTTTTATTAAAAAGAAAATTTGAAAGTTAAATAAAAACAAAACTTAAAAAATATTAACCTTATAAATTTGATATAATTTTATAATTTTTTTTTAAACCTTTAAAATTCATGTATCCTGGACAAAAGGGTTCAACCCCCTTCCCTCTCCCTTGGATGTTGGGTGTGGCTAACTTAACACCATCCTTTTTTTTCATGAAGATTAATTACACATTATAGTCACTATCTACATGAAATTTCATGAGTTATCAAGAAAAGGGATCTTCAAATGATCCTCAATTCAATGTGGATATGTAGTTTTAAAATATTGCTACTTGGAAATTTATGGATCCTTTGCCTTTAATATCCCTTATAACAAAGATTCTTTAAAATTGCGTGAGGAATTTCATGTTTTTTAAAGTTACGATAAAAGTGTTCCTTAGGTTATTTTACGGATGATAGCTAATGCTGAATAAATGTATTGATATCTAGGGATATTCAAGAGTGTATGGTGTTGAAACTTTAAATATATATTGGTCAGGCAGTTTGTCTTTGAATTCAGTTGGAAATTTTGATCATCACAAATTATATTTGACAGTATTAAAATCCAATAATTTTAAACAAACATTAAGAAGATTACACAAACACCGTACTTTCACAATTTGGTTTTACAAATATGAAAATTTTGAATAACTAAAGACTGATCTTAATTACATATAGACAAGACTTACTAGATAAATAATCAGTCCTCATGATTAAATGTTTTTAAAGATTAAAAGTCTGAAAGTTTTTAAGATTGAAATCCTATAAGTCTGAAAGCCTAAAAGTATTAATATCAAGATTCAATTTATATTGTGTTTTGAAGGATTGAAAGTCAGTATATATGATTTGCTTGTAAAATTCTTTAAAATTAAGGAGCACATTCACTGATATATTATAGAAAAGAGTGGGAGATTTTATAACTAATTTCTAACAAATAAACGAATCACCCTGATATCCTTATATTAATGAAGTTTTACTGTAGTAGGAACACATTGACCCTTAACCTGAAAAATCAATAGAGTTGTTTAGATATTCATGGACAACAATGGTATAGCAAAAATTGTGCTAATCTTTTACCTGAAAATCAAAATTTATGAAGCTTGTTTAATTAATCCATCCATGGAGTTTGATGAATATTAACCAAACTATTAAATATCCTTCTCACTTTGATCTTTTGACTAAAACCTTAAAAAGGTCATTTATTTACCTTTGTGTAACTTGGATGATTATCTTGTATTATATGTTGGATATATTAGTTGGACACTATTTTTAATTTGACCTATTTTTAAAAAAAAAAGAAGAAACCTGGAAAAAATTTTATTTCTTTGTATGAACAAATTATTTGATGTCATGCAGTTATTTTAACCAAAATATCAGGACAATCTGAGGACTTTTAAATAAAAAGTTCCCATTATAGTCAAGGAAACCATCAGTGTACCTACCAAAGACAAAATAGGAATGTCAACTCAACAAAGCAAGTAAGGCTCCTTTTCTTTAAAGAGTAAAATTCTGATGAATTGGGTGAGTGTTTCTTACTTTATGCCTATAAAGAAAAATATTTCCTCCATTTTGACTGTATGGATTAAGAGCTGTCCATATAATTGAATCAATGTAATGTCATTCTAAATGTCATAATGCCCATCATTCATAATATGTACTAGTCTCAATCATAAGATGGATCCACATTTTCTTTTAAATTTACATCACTTGGTGCCATATTTGAGGGAAACTCAGAATTCTCTGTTCAATTCATGTAAATTTCTGCTGTGCACCTTCTTCATTTGACATAATTTATTTACTTCTTGTATTCTGATTGAACAGGTTAGGGTTATCCATACATAGAAAGAAAACAGAACAGGAACACAGTGAAATTATTGCAAGAAATCCTTCAAATTTGATACATAGAAAGAAACATTGTTTTCATTCCTTTGGATTGACCCTGAATAGAGATACCATTTACTTTTTGGCAAGTGTAAACTTTATACTCCATGACTAATCATGATTTGTATATTGAAATTTAAACTGGTGTCCTTTAGGGTAAAATCATAATACTCCAACTGTCCTAGTGAGTATTATATTCAATCAACTTTGTGAAATATTCCCAACTTCCAATGCTTCTTATTTACATTTAAAGAAAAACTGACTCAAATAAAATTGTTTGTTTTCTTTTTATTTTATAGGAAATAACATGCTGACAGTGAATCTCGTCATTTTTTTAAAAAAAAAAAAAACAGATTAAAGTAATATTTACAATTGTCTTAAAATGCTCAAATGTAAGTTTATTTCATACCCAAATGAAATGTATAGACTGAATGTACTTATATATTAAATAATAGATTAACCCCTTTGTAGTAAAAACATTTTTTAACCCTGATTTTCTTGCCTATTCTCTCTTACATTTCCTAATTTGAGTATTCTCAAATTATTGATTACATAAGCAAATAAATTTAAGAGAAAACCACAATATATGCTGAATACCCTGAAATGAAATGGTTACACATGTAAGATGTGTGACAGGTCATGTAAAACTTTAAAGTCTACAAGATTTTAAGCTAACCATATTAAACAATAAGACTACTTTTTTAAAGTTATGAAAAATTCTCCACAAAAAGTTATTTATGCAAAAGATAAATGTTAGAGTATATTTTTTAAAATATATTTTACATGAATCAATCAAAGAACATAACAAATCATTTCTTTGTGGCTGTTTTTCTTTGGAACATCTGTGAACCAACTGTTTTGTCTTTTTGATACAAAAGCGTCCAAAAATCATTTGGAATAGTTATGTACTGTTAAAGCCTGATGCTCAGTTAAAACAGTAGAGATCATTTTAAGAGTTTCTGGTGTGTGTCCTATTTAGGAATTATTACAGTGTAACAAAGATGAAACTCATAATTTGATTTAATCAGAAATGATAAAGTCATCAGGTTTCCGCATGCTTTGCTGACACATCATGTACATTTACTACTCTACTGGTATGTCTTTAGTAGGAAAAAGGGAAATCAACAGAACTTAGCATTCCATATAAACAAAAATGAAACCTTTGATGAAAAATTCTCTCCTAAATATAAAATGTAGATGAACTTCTTTCAAATTGGATGATGTCATTTTTACATGCCAAAAAGAAACTAATGCAACTAAACTAAAAAAGACAATCATTAAATTTTACAGAAAATAAAGGAAAATATCAAGACAGAAAGTCCAGGAATTGAAAAAATTCTACAGTTATCATCTAAAGATGTATATGTTTGGATTCATTTTAAATTCATAAGCAAATGATATGCTGCCATTCAATCTTTCAAACTTAAAAAAAAAAATACTTTCTTTACTTTTGAATGAAGATCTAGAGGAGTCTTCCCCATGCAGATCTATTTATGAATGGGTTTTTCCCCTTGACCTTAGTTCAAAACTTATATTATTCCAACCAGTCTTTATCTATGCAGTGATAATAAGATTTTTTACAGAATTCTTAGGTATTACATAGTAATAGTCTTTAAACATCCTTGTTGTGCATTTGATTTACATTTCCAATTCTTTCCACAGAATATGCCATGTCACCCAATATAACAGATATAAAGTTATAACAAAATGTTAAACATTACAAAGCTCATATTAGTAATCTTACCAACTGACTTTTACCCAGAAGAAAAATGATCTTAAAATCTATAGAAAATCTCCGATTCATTCTTAACTTATGATGTGAAGTTTGTAGGTTACAAATTATTTTCAAAAGTAGTTATCTCAATAATCGCATGCTTTGACCTTGACAAATGTGTCCTTTAAAACTATGTGTATTACTATAAGCTGTTATGTGTAGTAAGCATGAAGTATATGAGATGATAAAAATATTCAAGATATTGCATCACAGATTACTGGGTAACTGCATCTTGATGTGGGATACTAAGGGACCTTTATCATATTTCAAGTTTTAAATTTAAAAATAGGGTACAATACACATACATATATACACAAATACAATATATTTACAATTCCAGGAAAGTAATAATTACATTAAATCTAGCATCTGAATATCTGTATAATTTCTAGGGGGTTATAGAAATAAGATGCAAAATAAAAGGTTTAAATGTATACTTCTCATACATAACAACTGTCTTCAATATGAATTGGCAAAAAATAAAAGTCACATTTAAATACTCTGAAGTCCGTGAGAATTAATTTTTAAAGAGCCCATGCTATCAGAAAATCATATTTTCTATACTTATTACAAAATGTTGAAGTTATTGCAAGACTCATATCAGTTATCTCAGTAACTGGTTTTTATTCAGGAGAAACATGATCCAAGATTTCTTAAGAAATCTCTTATTCATCCTATTCATTCTTCATTTATGTACTTACGATGTGAAGTTTGTAAGTTACAAATTATTGTCAAAGTAGTCTTCTCAATAATCTCATGCTTTGACCTTGATAAAGTGTCCCAAACAACAAAGTGTATTCCTCCAATCAGTATTTATGTAGTAAGTATGAAGTATATGGAATGACAACAAATATTCAAGATATTATTGCATCACAGATTATGGGACACTTACATCTTTATGGGGGTCCTATTGAGACAAATTTTAAATTCAACATTAAACATGATACATACACAAACAAAATATATTTACAATTCCAGGAAAGTTAAATAATACCATTAAATCCAGCATCTGGATATCTGTGTAATTTCTAGGGGGTTGTAAAAATTAGATGAAAAATAAAAGGTTTAAATGTGTAATTCCCATACATAACAACAGTCTTCAATATGAATTGGTAAAAATAAAAGTCACATTCAGATACTTTGAGGTCCGTGAGAAATAGTTTTTAAAGAGCTCATGCTATCAGAAAATCATATTTTCAGTACTTGATTTGACTAGATCTCAGTTTGATAAATGATTACACTTTATCCATAGTCAGTGTCTGACAGTGAAACATACAATCCTGGGTCCTTTCTTTGTCATCCTCTATAAACCACAGTCTATGATCGTACTGGTTAAATTCGATGGAAATCATATTTATGTTCTTCTTAAATCCTCCATCCTCTTAAGTTTGGTTTTCTTGTTTCAGTGTTCCAAGAGAGGATATTCTGTTAGTCTTTGCATAATCTGAGAGTCTTTCACCATTCTAAGAGTAGACATAGATCATTTCCATAACCTCTCACTAGAGAATCCTGAAAAAATAAAAAAAAATAATGTCTTAGTTGAAAAAAAAAATTGTAATGTAATATAAGCTTGATGGAATTCTACATATAGACAAAAAGGGTATAAAAACAAGTTGTAACATAAGATTTTGACTTTTCATATTAACCATGGGTAACACCTCTAGTAAAGAAAAGAAGTAAAGGAATGAGTAAAATTCAGTTCGGAGAGAGAATTCTTTCAGAGAAAGATGTAGACAGAGGTATACCAGTTAAAATAAAAAAAGATGGCACTATTGAGATCATTTCTCAAGAAGAATATAACCAATTATGTCCAGAAAAGGGTGATCCTAATGTTGTCAGAGATTACATAGAAAGACCCTTGATTGCAGAAGAAGCCAATGAAGAATATAACCATTTATTACCAAAAGAGGGTGAGAATTACTTGGATTACCCTGAAAGACCTTTGACTAGAAAGAAGTCAAGTTTATAGATGATAAGAGAAAACAGTTGTCAGAAAAAAAAAGATTGTTAAAGACACATGATTTTTAGCCCACAAAACCATTGGAGATACAAGGATTACAAGATACAAGGATTAATGGAGGAAGTCCAAACTGAACTCTTGGAAGACATTAAGGCTCATTATGAGAGTAACTTTCCAGTGTTTGTTTATTACAAAATTATGTATTCTGATAAAAAAAAAAAAAGAAAAAGTTTTCACTTTCATTTGTTGTGCCTTTGACCATTTAAATTGACCTTATGGTCAAGATTGTGATATATACACTCTGATAATCATCTATGATGTCTCTATGATGTTTACCTCAAAAGATTGAATCAGGGTATTTGTGTTCAAAGAGCTGAAGAAACTATACAGACAGATCTAAGATGTTGGAAGCATACATATTAATGAGGTTAAAGGAGATACAACACTAGATTATTAAAAAGAAAGAACACAAACTCATAGAAATGATATTGAAAGTACCTTTTATGAATAAAGTGTCATGCTCCAAGGTATTATTTTTATAAACAGGAGAAGGTTTACAGCAGTCCCATACACTCATAAGAAGATCTTGGGTAGTAGAAACACCAGGAAATTTTATTTCCACACAATCAGATCATCTTACATCAGTTATAAGGTTACAATCTTTATACATAGTCAAGAGGGTCATTAAGATTTCTTTTCTGGTCATCCTAATGAGCCACATTATAGTATTCTTTATCTTTGATAGAATGTTAATATTAAATGGAAAATTCAGAATTCATCAGCAATTGAAGTCAAAACTTCCTATCTTTACCAATTATGCTATTAAGGAAGCTGGGGTTAACAAATTAGCCATATTTAACTTATTCTATAAATATGTTATCTTCAGCTGTTAACTATCATTTGGCAAAGAAAAATTTCATACATTTTAGTTTTAAAAATTTGATCATGAATTTTTATGCCTTTTCTTCTTCTTCTAAAGGATATCAATAGAGTTTAAACATGACCATGACCACCAAGCCCTCTTTATTTAAAAAAAATCATATATCATTTACTTATCAATTCAGAAATATAAAAATGCATATGTAAATAAATAAATAAATAAATAAATAAATAAATAAATAATAAATAAAAATTACAATTGTATCTCATTGAAACTTTACCTTCAAGTTTGTGTGTTTCTATGTTGATTGACTAACTGTGTATTTCCAAAGGAAGAGCAGACAGTCTGAACTTCATAGAGAATTGATTACAGATGGTTAGGAACAAAACATATCTTCCATGTTGATGACTGTAGAAATAAAACCATTTTGTTAATATGACAGAGTACTGCATGAAACATTGCATGTTTAAATACAACATGTACAATGCCAAAAAAGATCATGAAAATATTTGTTTTTAATCTCAAAAAATTGTTTTTAACATTAACTCCAGATGAGAAAAGTTCATCATGTTATCTATAGATAATAAACAAGCACAACTACTGTATTAATATCATAAATAAAATGATTATCAGATTAATTATTTAGACACTAAAAAACTTACTATCTTTATGATATTGATTTCCATTATCAGATGTTTTTTATCCATTTTTTTATCCATTTTAAAATATAAACATTTAAATAAAACAGAATTAAATAAATTAAAATTACAATTGTATCTCATTGAAACTTTACCTTCAAGTTTGTGTGTTTCTATGTTGATTGACTAACTGTGTATTTCCAAAGGAAGAGCAGACAGTCTGAACTTCATAGAGAATTGATTACAGATGGTTAGGAACAAAACATATCTTCCAGGTTGATGACTGTAGAAATAAAACCATTTTGTTAATATGACAGAGTACTGCATGAAACATTGCATGTTTAAATACAACATGTACAATGCCAAAAAAGATCATGAAAATATTTGTTTTTAATCTCAAAAAATTGTTTTTAACATTAACTCCAGATGAGAAAAGTTCATCATGTTATCTATAGATAATAAACAAGCACAACTACTGTATTAATATCATAAATAAAATGATTATCAGATTAATTATTTAGACACTAAAAAACTTACTATCTTTATGATATTGATTTCCATTATCAGATGTTTTTTATCCATTTTTTTATCCATTTTAAAATATAAACATTTAAATAAAACAGAATTAAATAAATTAAAATTACAATTGTATCTCATTGAAACTTTACCTTCAAGTTTGATTGTTTCTATGTTGGTTGACTAACTATGTATTTCCAAAGGAATTTGGGCAGACAGGCTGAACTTCAAAGAGAATGGATTATAGATGGTTAGGAATAAAACATATCTTCCAGGTTGAGGACTGTAGAAAATATAATCATTTTGTTAATATGACAAGGAACTGCATGAAACATTGCATGTTTAAATACAGTGCCAAAAAGTTCATGAAAATAGTTCATCATGTTATCTTTAGATAACAAAAGAAGCACAGTTACTGTATTAATATCACAAATACAAAATGATTATCAGTGTAATTTTTAGACACTAACAGACTTTCTCTTAACAGCATATTCAATTTTGTTTAATACCTGTCAGTACAGCATACAAAAAGATATTAGCATATACAACATGTAGTCCTACATTTTTTGAAAAGCTCATTACCAAGAAACAAAAGTGAAAATGAAAATATATGTATGCCATATATACCACATATTTAGAATCAAAACAAGGATAAACCTTTTGTAGATTCTTACTTTTTCTTTTATTACATTCCTTATAGATCACAATTTAGTAAGTCTGAATTCCATGGGTAACAGACATAATGAATTATGACATTATATCATAATTTATGCAAAAGGACTTATTAACAATATGAAGTTTCCTTAGTATATTTTAGACAAAATAAGACTGTGCTTATATGAATGTTAGAGATATTAGATCACATAAGAATCACACAGTAATTAAATTAATCCATATAATCATGGTTAAATGCAAAGATGACCTTCATAGGAAATGTAAACAAAACAAAGACAAACTTACCAGAATTATCCAATTATATGCCCAATTAAATAATCCAGTGAAATAACATCTCAGCTGATCCTGAAAAAAAAGCATACAATATTCAGTGATACACAAATTAACCTCATTTTACAAAGGAAGTAAAGCAACAATTGACAGACAAACAGGACAGAAATGTAAAAGATACCATATATATTTTACCAAAATTTAGTAAACATTTTTTCTGATTTAAATTCAATCACAGAATGACCCATCATAGTAATATTAAATACACTCTGGGTTACATGCAAATTATACCTTACATGAACTGAGAATAAATACCCCATTTACATTCATATAAACTGAATTTTACATAACTAATTACTCTTTTAACTGATGTCACCATTAGTATGTCAGAATATTCAGGGTGTACAAATCATGCATATTCACTTTTAAAGTACTCAATATATATTTTACATGTTGATGTTTGAAATCACTGACTAAATAAAATACATACATGTATATACATGAAGGTTTAAAAAAGGGGTAGGACACACATGTTTAAAAATTTACAGAGATGCTCAGACTGAGTTTTTCCCACTTTCATTGGGCCACTGTTGCACCAGAATGTAAAAATATGAGTGACAAATAAGGCAAAAGATTCTGTATATTTCATTAAAAAAGATTTGAGACAAAAGATTCATTGGCATAATATGATCTGATTGATTATCTCCATATCCTTCTTTTGGTCACTGTGATTAAATATTCATAGAAATATTAGAAATGACAACTGAGAATATCACTTTAGTTGTTTTAAAAGCATGTATCAGTATTTTATAAGATATGCTAGGAGTCTCCTCATAAGAATATTTAGAATACTGATCCAATAAAAGGAATGTGAGACAATATGATCATAACTCATGCAAAAAAGATTTATCAACATTTTTGAGGATCTTTTAGTGTCCTAGTGTATTTCAGGGTAAACAATGGCAGTGTTTATATGAATGTTCTAAACATAAGGTATATAACACAGTAATAATGAATAAATACAAAGATGACCTTCATAGAAAATGTATAAAGAAAAGTTTGTTAAAACTTACCATGTAACCAGGTAACTCAGTAGAGTAATATTCATTAAATAATCCAGTGAAATAACATCTAGGCTGATCCAGGATTCAGCTGTTCAGAACTTTCTTGGAAGAAAAACGGTAGAAAATCAGTTTTGGTACTGAAATCCATAGGACCATACTGTTATTACATGAAGTCTCAAGCGCTGTGAAAGTCTGTGTTATTGTGTCAAAATAAGCAGCCATCGCGGCTTGTGAAGGGCTAACATGACGTCGCTGCCAAGTTTATGACGTCACAATGCATAGGTAAGCATATTTTTTGCACAAGGCCCTAAACAAACTTGAATCGCTGCCAAGTAATACCTGTGTAGTCAGCATAAAAACGTAGGTCTATCGTATTTTTTGCACAGGGCCCTTACAGATGATGCAACAGGTATAAAAGTCGCTGCCAAAATCGTAGTAGCAGCGTTGTGAATCGTAGTAGCAGCGTATATAGTATAATGTAAACACAGTGTAAACACACCCCCCGTATTTAGGGCCGACTATATGTACTGAATTGACCCGGCTATCCCCCACAGAGCCCCTAATCTGCACTCTATTGACCCACCTATCCCCCCAGGGGCTGCACTCAGTTGAACCGGCTATCCTCCCCCAGGGGCTGCACTCGCTTGACCCGGCTATCCCCCCCAGCTCCAAAAGCGCACTCAGTTGACCCGGCCATCTAGGCGCTTTATACTACTACTTACGTTCTGAGATCTGAAAATTCCTAAGATATGAGATACGAAATATGAAATCTGGAAAAATCGGCACGCGCTTAGCACATTATTACTCGCAATAAGTCTATCGGTTTTTCGAAAGTCATTATAATTTTTAAAAAAGGGATATAAATAATACAAACATTTTGTTTTTCTCTTCATAATCAAAATTGTCATGTCCAAGCACAACCACTCTTTGATTTTAGATTGGTATGGGTTATTAAAGCAACTGATAATTGATAGCGCAACACAAACCTCCCCCCCCCCCCCGAGGCAGAACAAGTGTTCCAGAATGACACTTCCCTCAAAGAAACCCTTAAGGACTTATGGTTTCAATGCCTGGCCCTTTCCCAGTGTGTGGAGTCTAGCTACACTACATTTTCTGTGTCAACAAATGAAAGAATCCCTGCCCATGAAATGATACATGTATGTGTTGAGCCTAAGCGTCTATCTCGGAAAGCCTTACAGTTTCCTAAATCACCCCCAAGCCAGGAAAGTGGTTCTACTCTGACAGAAAACAGAAAGACACGAGAAAATTTGTATTCAATACGGCATGAAATATGTGGAAATTTCAGACAGGCTAAGATATCCGAAATTTTTAATACCAGCCTCAACGGAATCTATGAATTACCCAATGAAGATCGGAAAAGTCCCTGGATGGCTATGGTAGCCGATAGATTACGATTCCGGAGGAGAATTCATCACTTGGAGCGTTTGTTAGTTTTTCAGAAATAAACCATATAAATTATATACGTCATTGTTGTTGTTATTTATTATGTCATCTTGGATTTTTTGAGTGTGTGTATGGTTTTTGATCAAACAAAAAATCTAGACTTTCCCATGTCTAATAAAGTAAATACGAATGATTTTAAGATCAAATCGATTCTTTTCATCGTAAAATTTCTTTTATTAAAGGTCTGGTTTCTTAGAAATCAGGGTTGTGTAATGAATGTCTTGTTAAAACCCAGTGTCATTCCAATCTCGATTTTTTTTTTAAACTCTACAACTTTTCATACAAAAAACTAGAAACGAATTGTTTTTTAACCTAATTTCATTCTATCCTTCTTAAAATTTTAGTTCGAAATAAGGTGAATTTTAAGAAATCTTATCTCACTCGATGTAGAGATGGTCTGGAAAGGGTGACCTTTGAACTAAGCTGTTTCAATCTCTTAACACATTTTAGGTTGCATTGATTGTTTTTTTTTTTCCTTATCATGATTCTTTTGAAATAAAAATCATATCGCCTCCCTTCTCTCGGTCCCTTCTCCTGATCATGAACTATCATGAGTTTCCCTGGTCTCACACTCTAAAAAGACGAACAAATGTCATGTATCAATTATAGTATGGAAAAATCCAAGAAACGTACTTCTTTAAACCTGAATCATGATTTAATCTAATTATGAATACACAATAAATAATCCATGAAAATGTATATGTCCAAAAGTACATAATCAAACACAACTTGGGTTCGCAATGATTTTTGACACATGTTTCGGAATTGCTCTCTTTTTGGTCCTTGATTTGAGCGTAAATACGGACGCTTACCAGCACTCTGCGACATTTGTCACTACCCAGATAGCATGACTATGTTGGGCCAACATTTGTTAAAGGTTGTATGGTTGGCGTTGGGGGAACAACGTTGGGCCAACGTTGGACCAATTTTACCAAGTCAACCTTCTCGACCATGACGGAATTCCTATGTTGGCCCATTGTTGGTCCAACGTAAGCAACTTCCATTCACTTTAGTTTCCAAAGAAGGAAGGATCATGGCGTTGGCCCAACGTTGGATCAATGTTTATAATACACCCTTAAAGAAAGTGTATTTACAAGTTGGTAGTAGTATGTTGGCCCAACGTTGGCCCATTGTTTGTAATACATCCTTAAAGAACGTGTCCTATCAAGTTGGTAGTAGTATGTTGGCCCAACGTTGGCCCAATGTTTGTAATACACACAAGTGTTATTTTGTTTAGGTCTTCAAAGATGGGATATTTATATTGGGCCAACGTTGGCCCGATTATTATACTGCCAACTAATTGATGGTGTCAGTTTTATAATAAGCTGCTGGGCTTTACGTTTGGACAACGTTGGTACATTCTGAAATAATTAAGAGGACTTTCCAAGTCCATGCTTATCACTGGATGACTGCTTTTGTTTAGATATGATATTTTCAACATTTTAACTTTGCACTTAAGTGATCAAGCACCAAAGAGTATTTTATTCTATTTTTTGAATTGTATATTTGCTTATTTATTTGTAATAACCCAGATAGCAGAACACCGTTGGCCAAATCTTACATTATGGTTCTATTATCTATGTTGGGTTACCTTGATTGGGCCAACAATGGCCCAACATGGAATATTGATAGCTGGTTATGTATAATAGTGCGCTAATGTTGGGCTTACTGTTGGCATTATATCATAAAACTATTATCATGAGAGAAAATATTTGTTTGGGGATTGGCATCGGCCCTACGTTGGCCCAGTATACCATGAATCAGACTGAGCATCATGGGTAGACAACAACCGGGCTACTTGTAATATCCGCGCCATTTTTAATCTGACACGAGCGTAATGAGACTGATACCTTGCATATCTGCACTCACTTTGTAAGTATTAATAATATGTTTGCCTCGGCACAGCTGAATTAACGTTTAGTTTTTAAACGATATCATGTACAAAACTGTGTAAATCAGACACGGGGAAGTGCAGAGGCCAGGTGTTGTTGGGTCAACACTGTACAGATAGCATGCAAACATTGGGCCAACGTTGGACCAATGTAATTGGTTACATCGGACCAATGTTGGCAAATGACATTGGCCCAATTTAAGTTTGCTCATCAACCCAATGTTGGCCCGATATGTTGGGCCAAAGTTAGCCCAGTGAAGAGTGTTATTTCTACAGATATTGCCCAACGTCGCGCCAACATTGGCCCAATGAATGCGACATTGTTGGCGAAACGTCAACAAGAACATTGGGCCGATGTTGGCAAATGCCGTTGGGCCAGTGTCATTTTGCTCCTTGGTCCAATGTTGGCCCGATATATTGGACCAACATTGGGCCAATGTGTATAAACATTTAATTGTTACAAATCTGTATATTAACAAATCTGATCGTCTCTACAATCAGAAATAAATCTACAACCAATCCTACTTGAAAAATCTAGCTAGCTAAAATAAATTTAAAATTCTTATAATTTATCGAAACAAAATAAATTATCAGTGATTAAATTTTTTGTTTATATACAAGAAAAATAAATGAAAGTATAAAAATGTGTTTTGATACAGTTAAAACAATTAATAATTTGCTCCTTATTTAAATTGAAATTTGTGTCTAGTAGAATACAAGTCTACCACTTAATTTACTTACATACACTTAACGTCGAGAACATGATCAAACATTTTGAAAATGTTGAATTTGCTGAAGTTAAAACAAAATTTATTCAGTACTAAAAATAAATTGGGTTCTTTCATTTAAAATTTGTTCAGTGTAACGACAAATTTTCAATACATGTATTTTATATGGGGCAACATTGAATCAAAATTGTTTTCATGATGATTATCAAGCGTATAAATATTATGCATAAATGCCTTCATCACGCAAGCTAATCACTTAATCACACCATGAAACAAAAAGACGGTTATTCCTTAATTGACAGCTTAAACATATAGTGATATACTTGTAAATTTAATCGTATGTTTACTCTTTACTGAGAAAAGTAACAAATGTATTAAGTACCAAATATAACAATTTTAGTGCTACTGGAGATTCTAAAAAGACATGGAGAACACAATCAAAGAATGGCTAAGGTATGCCAAGGACAGGGATGAGGGAGAAAGGAACGGACAGAGAAGAAAAGAAGGGGGAGGAGGAGACTCGGGAAGAGGAAATGGAGACTTCGGAGAGGGATCAGATGGAAAATGGCAGTAACTAACTTTTTTCTGTGATATAGTGTGACATACCTGTAGTACTACCCTTTTTTGTGTCTGTTTGTCGGTTATAAACACGATGCAGATGCCAGAAATATTTTTTTGTGTAAGTAAACAAAATGACGGGATTCATTTTAGTATTATTTTAAGAACAGGAGGGCTTTGTTTATTTGTTAGACGTGCTTATTGAAACCTGTAATTTTCCAATTTTGTGCATAATTTACATCAGAGAGGGAGTATACAGTCATGTAACTTTACATGTATCGCTTGAAGTGAGCATCAACTTTTAATTTTTTACTAATGTTTTCTTCATGCACTGAGCAATAAAATTATAGTATGTTATAATTTAATTTTATATTTTGATTTCTTTTTCCTCAGTCTTTTAATTAATGTAGAGCTACTTACAATGCAATACTTGTTGATGGCAATTCTATGAGAATATTGAGAATATGTATTAAACTATTAATCTAGCATATATAGCATATATAGATAGTATTAAACGGCTTTTACCATTAAACTGTACTACAAAACTAGTATAACCTTATTGTATATATTTGTTTGTCAATTTTGAGGACAAATGGCCAACCAGGGAAGAGCAAATGAGTTGTCATGATGGA